GACATAGTTAACTAGAGGCCAGTGGTGACTGTGGCTTTTTGTTTTCATTTTATTTTCTGATAACAATTAGATTTGCCTAATAACAACTTGCCATTTAACTCAAACTGTTCACACAAATACCTAGTCAAAACCCAACTTCTCAAAATAGAAATCCCCATAGCATTTTACTAAAAAAATTATCTGCTGCATGACTTTTAGTACCAACTAGAGTAGGCTGAAGAAAATGAATTGTTGAAACAATAGTCAACATTCATGTAACCCCTGTTGTTTTATCAGCTGGATTTAGGTCTCAGTCTTTAAGAAGCTACAAGATTACTATTATGACAACGGATGAGTAAAGCTAGCTGCCTGGATGAAATCAAATCTGCACATTTATAATATAACATCATTATTAAATAACATATATGTCCTCAAGATATACTTCCACACACAACAGTAAATTATAATCTGCAACAATAAATTTTGATGAGACACTTATTCCCTTCCCCTCTGAATAATTAAACTTTGTCCATATGATTTGACTAAGGGGGATTTGCAAGAAAAAGATTGCACTGTAAAAGACATTGTGGAGAAAGGGACAAGCTTCCTTTTGATTGCCGTCACTGAACTTCTCATGGCAGAACTCATGCAAAGTAACTCTAGGGATTTCTCAGTGCATTATTTGGAAACAGCACATACATAGATTTCTGATACTTAAATGTATATTTTAAGATTATAAATAAACTATAACTACAAATATAAATATAAATGAACTAATGAAAGGCTCTTGTGTCTCCGTAAATTAATTACTGAGTAACTTTAGGCCCCCCTTCATGGATTGCTGCCTTGTTGTGGCAAAGGGGCTTGAGTAATTCAGAGAAGCTATGGGCTATGCTGTGCAGGGACACCCAAGACGAACAGGGAGCTGTCTGTCTTGGGTGAGAGCTGGACCATAAAGAAGGCTGACTGCCAAAGGATGTATGCTTTTGAATTGTGGTGCTGGAGGAGACTCTTGAGAGTCCCCTGGACTGCAAAGAGAACAAACCTATCCATTTTGAAGGAAATCAATCCTGAGTGCTCACTGGAATTACAGATCCTGAAGTTGAGGCTCCAATACTTTGGCCATGTCATGAGAAGAGAAGACTCCCTGGAAAAGACCCTGATGCTGGTAAAATGTGAAGGCAAGTGAAGAAGGGGACGACGAGGATGGTTGGACAATGTCACCGAAGCTACCAACAGGAATTTGACCAAGCTCTGGGAGACAGTGGAAGACAGGAGGGCCTGGTGTGCATGAGATCATGAAGAGTCGGACATGACTTAATGACTGAACAACAGCAAAGTTTAAGCCTACCTGGAGACTGAGCTAGCTGACATACTCTCAAAGTGGAATAATTGGGGGTGTGCACACAAGAAAATTACTCAGCTTGGAAGTTATGGACAAGCTGGGTTCAATTCCAAGGTTCGAAGCCTCATAGAAAACCAATATAAATCTACAAAAAGTGCAACATGCTTGGGTTCTAACAATATAATAAGTAATGAGAGTAGATTACTCTTCTAAGACTGAAACATGTCCATGCCATCATATTAGGAGTTGTAGTCTGAGAAATTCACAACAGAGCCCATCATCTTTTTTTACTTGATTTTTCATTTCATTCAACATTTCATAATGACTCAATTAAAAAAAAGATTTGTTTGATATAACAGGTAATGTTCTCTTTCTCCTTTAATAAAACTCAAGTCCAATACATCATTTTTAGTGTTCCATAAGTCCCTTTACACATTCTTTTCCTAATTAACTGTACGTTCAAACAACCATGGTAACTAGTAACAACATATAATTAAGAGTGGTAGAGAGGTTTCGCAAGCTCATATGAGCTTAAGGGTGAAACACTCATCCCTCGTTGGGTTCCCATACCTTTTCCCTGGTATCTCTCTGGGCTTCGGGTGGGAACAGTTATTCCATGACTGCTTCGAGGGGAGTTGAGACATCTTCTAGCCTCCCTGTTCTTTGATTCTCTTTGAAATATTTCTCTCATGCCTCCCTTTCAGCTATCTTTGCCCAGTATAGAGGTTTTAGAACTTGTCTATTCCTCAGGTCTTTCAGACAGCTCACTTTTTTCCCCTCCCTCTTCCTCCTCCCCAAACCAGGACTCACCTAGGTCACACCTCAGTTCTTCCCCTCCCTCTATACCTCTCTCATTTCCCGCCAAAACAGCACCCCCTACCGGCCATTCCTTTCCCAGGTTTTCCACCTGCAGTTTTTAAAAAACCACTTCACTTTTTTGTGCATCTCACCCCCTAACAGTTCCTTTTTGTCTTGTGAATTGGACGCCCACCTTCAGTTGCTACTTCTTTCTTACATAGTCCAAAAATGAACTTTTTTTCAAGCTCTGAAAGGAACGGCAGGAGCCTCAAGTGGCAATGGTGGAATTTTCTGTCAGCATTTAATGTGCTCATGGCTGATGGGAGGAAAAGATAGACCACTCGACAGCCTGTGAATAATTTGCATAGCACTTTGCAGATTAAAAAAATCACTTGAATCTGTTCCAATCTGGATGCTCCAATTGATACAGTTACATTGGAGGTAATTTTTGTCTCAGCTTGTGTGGCAATACGGAGGCTAGGTTTGTCCCCTTTCTTGCCCTTCTGCCAGCAGGCAAATGTGTTTTGATTTAGGAAGGCCTTCAGCAATTAATGCCCTCAAATAATAGGAATACAATTGCTCTACTGCTTATTTGTGAATAAACTAAAAATCAGAAATATACTTTCTAATGAAATACATAGGTTTAGCTAAAATATTATAAAGCACTGCACAACTTGAGGATTACTAATAAGGGACTGTAAACAGAACGATGCATTTGCTAGATGCAAATTTCTCACAAAGTCAATCACTGTCTCAATGGGATGTATGGAGAAACTGGTTCTTCTGGCTTCACCTGTATAACCACTTGAAACACATACACAGATAATATTTATACTCTTAAATCACAGGAGTCCTTAATCAGATAAAGTTCTACTGCCAACAATTGTTATGATTTCTTAGTAGGCTGACACTCTAGGTTTAGGTGTCAAATGGAAAACAATCAGCTAAGGTAACCTGAACTATGAATGAGAAGTACTTATTGAAGGCATACCATTTTAGGGAAGGCAACATAGTTTTTGTTTTCTTAAATAAAATTGTACTTCCAAAGACTTTCATAGAAACTATTGCTCCCACAAGCCTCAATGATGTTTTACTACCTCAGCCAAATGTTCTGGTTTTTGTTGGCCAGATTCAAATTTACCCATAACTGTCAATTCAGACTTACCCCTTTCTCCACAGCTTTTGAATTGTTCTTGCCCTCCACCCTTATAACTACCTCACCACACTTCTATCTTCTCAGTTCTGTAACTGAAATCTGTAACTGTCAACTGACTGAACAGAAGTGTACCTGCTCTGGTCAAGGAATATTAGGATAACAGTGTTCAGAAGATCATTCCAGAGAGGTGTAAGGCTGTCAAAAGGTCTCATTGCTCCTCTAAGAGCATATGAAATACTTTAAAAATATCAAAAGACAAGAAAGGAGGCTGGAACACCACTTGGCTATCTCCAGTGCCTAATAAGGTAAGTGACCTGCCCAGATCATGCTCAAATCCATTAAAAATTATTTTCCTCCACACCACAGCAGCAATGTTAGGCCTCTTTCACAGGGAAATGAGAACAGTGTGAATTGTTCTGAGTAACAATGCTATTTTAAAACTAAAACTATTTTGGCGAGCACCTTCCCAATTTGTATTCTAATTAATCTGCAGATGAGAATTTCAAGAGATACCTGTGTTGACTTCACTGCAGTAAACAGAAGAATCTTGTAATGCTTTCAAGACTTGAAAATGTGCTATGGCATAAACATCCGTGGAGTAGAGTCTACTGCATGACATGCATCTATTTTTGTCTATTAAGGCATTTGCCATTATAAATGTGGAAATCTTCAAGAGACACATTTCTTTGCATCTATTGATAGGGGAAATGCTATTTATTCAGCACCAGCCACATGTGGAAAAACTAACAATACAGAACTTTGCAGGGGACAGAGCTTGGAAATGACATTTCTGGTTTATACAGTTCTCAAAATCCATCAGGTAGCACATTGAGTGGCTATGGTGCCTGGTTGATTTTGGGGTAGCAGTTCTCAAACCTATTATTTCCAAGCTTTGTTATTAGCACAATCCTTTTCTGGTTCACTTTTCTACTTGTGTGACTTCTCACTAACCGATGTTGCAACAGGTTAGATGCACTCATGCACTTCTACAGATGCCACATTCAAGTGGTGTTGTTTTGCACCTGCATCCATAGTCGCCTATTATATTTTTAATGGCAAGATTTTGGCACTGACATGCTTGTAAAAACAAAATATTGATGCACATTTTAATAATAAAAAGTAAACTGCAAAGTGTTTTTAAATTAAGAATAAAAAGAAACCCTACTTATTTTATGCCTACATTAAAAAATAAGTTCATAGATTTAGGCTTAAAATTAGAGATACTCTATGCAAAAGGGTCTGTTTATGCAAAATCTAGTCAACCAAGATCAGAGGAAACCCTCCCCCCGCCTTCAACTGTACCACATCTTGTCTGATTTACAGGATTCTCCAAACTGTTGTCCAGATGATCTGCTATGTGGAATTGCAGAGAAACATCCTATAAACCTAAACTGCTTAAACTTAAAACCTGATCCAGTCCATTCATTTTCAGTCTATACATTTTCCCCAAAGCACTGTGTCACATCTATTCTTACACAAAATGACAAAGGTGAGGACAGGCATTAAGACATTAACTCACTTGTCATAAAGTCTTTAGTTAATAATTAATAATTAA